TGATTTAACACGATCGACCCAAATTTTAAGAAACAAATTTTTCTTTACCTATATATATATATATATATTTTTAAACGTATTCTTCCGGAAAACGTATCTATCGTATAAAAACAAAATTATGTGTACTCTGTTATTTATAATAGTCAAAAATAGTGTATGAAACGTTTCACGATTTACGACAATAATACAATCAATCGAATAAAACTTTAATATAACAAATCATTGAAGTAAACCAGAATAGAAAACTTAAATGGAATTGATTGCACTCGCATTCTATTCCTATTGTATTAACAATACTTAACGGCAACAACGAATATAATAATAACGTTCAATTATTGTAGATCTCTGTGATTCAACATCCGATCAATGTTTCTCTCTCATAATCAGTATTGATAGACAATGGTCATCGAGAAACAGAGAGAAGTCTCCGTGAGTTGAGGAAGTAAAGGAGACTCTTTTTCTTTTATGACAGCAAAGAAGAGAGAGAGAAAGACATGCAACATGGCAATTCTGCGAGCATAAGTTTATTGAGAAGATTATGTAAGTCGCTTACGAAGACGGACAAGTCTCTCTCTTTTTCTTTCTTTTTCTCTTCGTCTTTCTCTCTTTCGTTTTCTTCAACGATTCCTCTCGTGCTTCTGTTTTTCCCTCTCCTCTTATCCTGATGGTTGCCACGAATGCGTCGTTTATGGCCACGACTAAGTTGGCCGAGGCTACGTTTTACGGCTACATTTCTGTCTCGGACATTTTATTCTCTCTCTCTCTCTCTTTCGCATATCTCACATTTCTTTTCTTTTCTATTCGTTCGTTCAAGGCTTTTTCTTCATCTTCATTCTCTTCATCTTCTTATTCTCATTCTTATTCTTATTCTTATTCTTATTCTTATTCTTATTTTTATTCTTATTCTTATTCTTATTCTTATTCTTATTCTTATTCTTATTTTTATTCTTCTTATTCTTCTTATTATTTTTATTCTTCTATAATACTTCTCCTTTCGAACTCAATCCGAAAGCTACGGATATTTTTATTCATTCTCTCCGTTCAACTCTCTCCATCCATTCTGAGTAACCGAGAAAAATCTTTTATTATCGAAAATAAAAGAGTTGAAACAATTTTCGTCGTCTTAATAAGATTAATCGTCCTAGTGAAGCAAGGTCGAATTGTACTTGCTACATACATAAGTTAGAATAGAAAAATTTATGATAACGCGTTACTCTGGAAGTGATAAGCCGAACGCATCGTCGTCGTTTTGCAAGGACAACTGACACAATCAGCACAAGTACGGAAACTGATGCTAAAGTACATACCGTGTTTTATTATTTATCTAGGAAAATATATTGTAAAGACGAGTTTTACATTCATATTTTTATCTAAATGAGTACATAAATAATCGATGGGGTTTTAATTAGGGTTTTATGAGGGGTCACAATCGTGAGGGTAATAATTGAATGATATTTTCTGTGAAATATTACGTTGTCACTTTGCGCATGTGTTTGGGATTATTATTCTATTGTAGAACCTGTCTAGAAAATGCAAATTGTCAACGTCAGTTGAAAAGAAACAACCCTAAATACACAGCGAGCCTATATCGTGTTTTAACTGTAAATTTTCTTGTCGTAGGTTTAAAATACTCTCTATGTTTTCTCCATACATATTTTCTTCTATTATAAAAACGAAGTTAAAATCTTGATTCGTTGCTAAATAAAATATTCTTTCAAAAAACGTTTTACGAATGCTAAATGTTTTTCAGAATTGATTTTGCTTATTTATGGTCGTTTTCTCAATATTTTTCAGTTTTCTCAGAATCAAGTTTCCTAAATTTGTAAATTTTGAGTATATTTTACAGAAATAAAACGATTTTTGAGAACTTCACGTAAAATAACGCGATTTTATCTGAATGTTGTTTTTTGTAGGCGTCCAAATTTTGACAGATTTCTAAACTATTTACAATCTTCTTAACACCCTTGCTACAATCTTTCTGAAAGAATTTATTTTTCATTCTTCTGTTAAATATTATTGATTTTCTTCAGAAGTAAGTTATCATATTTTTAACACTAAAAAATTTGACGAATAAATTGTAAATTAATACTTATTATATAAATATTTTGTAAAATAATAACAATTAAAATATGTGTCAACTTGCTTTAACTTAAGTTTCTTATGTAAACTTAGAATTATATGTTTGCTTTTTACTATTGTCTGATTCAAACTAAGATACGAACAACGAAGAAAAATAGTATAATGTAATGAAATAATCAAAAATTCTTTTTCAATTATATGATTTGAAATTGATTAATTTTTGTATTTATCGCGATTTATATGATGTTACTCAATGGTCATGGCGATGACATAAGAAAAAAGTAAGTCTCAGCGTTACGATCTTCGATTCTGGCATAAATTTTTAATCGCGTAAATTAGAATTTCATTCGTTAAGATTCACGAGCAGTATCGACGAAAACGTAAAAAAAAAGGAATCGACGTATTATCAACGAGGAGAAAATAAAAGCGTATTTAAAAAGTGGTCGTCGTATCGATTCACGAATTTGTTCGAGAAAACGAAGACGTTCTATTCATTGCTCGGAAAAAAATTATCCAATGGTGCCTAAAAGAGTAGTTTGAAATGTAGATCTAGAGAAAAAAGACGAAATGTGTATTATATCATAAATAGTTACGAGAGATAGAAAAAGAAATACAGAAGAAGAGAAAGAAAGAGAGCAATCTCTAGAAATGTAAACATAACGAAATAAGAATACAAAATACGCAATTTAGTTTAATCGCAGTAAAATGTTTCATATATACTATATACTTTATATATACTAACCGCATATGATAATTGTACAATATGTCTCTAATCACGAGAGAAATATAAAAAATAAATTAATGTTGAGAAAGCTTCCACCCTTGGACCATGCCTCTCACCCATTCCAATTACCTCTTCAACTTTTCGATAAAATTCGAAACTATTATTTTCTTTTCGTTTGCAAAAAGAAATACAAATAGTCGTTTCGATTTCTGACCGACCCAATTTCGTAATAATTCGTCGAACGCTTCTACGACCTACTCTCTCAGCCCTCTCTCTTAAAAACTTTTTCTCTTCTTACATTTTTCTTTGAATCTAACTTAAAATGTACAAATTTGTTCCTAACGTTTGAGTATTACAACACTCGTCTACGATTGTTATAATAAATCCAATTTTACTTATTACCCCGAATTATATGTCTTTTTACAATTATTTTCTATTATTAAACGAGAACAGGTTATGATCTCGCCGAAAATAAAATTTAAAAAAGGAAGAAAGAAAAATATGAAAGATGGTACAAACAATTAGTAAAAAAAAAATAAAATCTATTGCTCAAGACTTTTCTAAGAGTTATATCTACTCGTCGTCTCCGCAAAGAGGACACGAGCACCTTCTCGTAGACATGCACGCGCGAGACCAAGTGCGTTCGTTTGAAGCGTTAGAAAGAGAGAAAGAGAGAGAAAGAGAGAGAAAGAGGGAGAGAGAAAGAGAGAGAAAATCATATAAGTGCGTAGAGCGTGTGTAAGTAGGCCACGGTGCTTTCACACGATAAGGTCTTATCAGAGCGTGCGCGTACGTCATCCTCCTCTCTCTCTCTCCCGATAACTTCCTTTCTCGTATTCTCTCTCATTTTCTACCTATATCTTTATTTCTTTCTCTCTCTCCCCATATTGCTCTCGTCGACAAAGCGCCGGTAAAACCTTCTTCTTTCTCGGTTCTCCGCACGATAAAGCCCTTCTTCCCGTTCGCGTACCCAACGGGCGAGGCTTTCTAAAGGCTCCGACAGCGTGAATGAGAGGAATTTTAAAAGCGAAGCCTTTCCTTTCTCCCTCACTATTTTTCTCTCTCTTGCTATCTCTTTCTCTTTCTCTCTCTCTCTCTCTTCCTCTCTCGCTTCTCCTCTTCCTTTTTCTTCTTTTCCTGTTTCTATTGTTAATTTAATTACGTATTGTTTGGACTCAAGAGAATAATCTCTCTCTTTTTGGTTTATTTATATTATCCTTATGATCATATTATATACGTATGTAGGTATTATTTGTTTTAAATTTTCCTTTCATTTTACCCAACATCGTTCAATGGATATTCGAGATATTTTGTTTATTGCACTTTCTCTCTCTTTCTTCCTCTTTAGCTTATCATTGCGTTGTACTTTCCTCTATTGTTCCACTTTTGTCATTTATTAGCCATTCATCTCTTTCTCCTCGACGCTACGCCAACGTCTAATTCTCATCGTGTATGTTTATCGAATCAAAAGTGTGAAAACGTCGTAGCATTATATATGAAAGAAAAAATGCAAGAAGAATTGTAGATAGAAAGAGATATCCTCATATAGAAATGCAAGACGATAGAGCGCGGGGACGTTTTAGAATAAAAGCATATGCACGATGTGTCGACTAACTCGTGCCGAGATAAGCGACAAAGAATTACATGCTAACGCTTGTACGATTCCTCCTACTTCGAGTTGGAACCGAGTAGTTCTTTTCATGCGTATACAATGATACACAAAAAACGATTCTCTACGGTTTTTAAATAACGTCGTTTTTAAATGAACAAAGTATGATAATTACTATTTGTGAATAAATGCAACACACATTTCTTTGTTCTGTATGAATTATATGACAAATTTTCTAAAGAAAATTTCTAAATAGGCGTGTTGAACGTGTTGCAAAAAAAGAACAAGAAATAGAATGCATCTTTGCTTTCCTCGCTTCCGATACATCTTGGAAATCTTAAAAAAGTTATTTATAATTTAAAGATTAATCCATGAATACGTTTTTAGGTGATAAGCGTAAACTCAGAAGGTAAGATTTTGACTACGTGAAAATTGTTGTCTTCCGTGAAATGAGATGCAGTTTAAACGTGCGTTGGAAAAGTTTAGCCTTTAGGTATGAATACATATTTATGTACGACGGAGGAGTAGGAGTAGGAGTATAGGTAAGAGGCAAGAGAAGAAGAAAAAGAAGAAGAAGAATAAGAAGAAAGAGATGAAGGAAGGAAGGAGCTTAGGACTCGGCTGGATCGCGTGATTTTCTCCCAAGGTTAATCCATTTGAGTTTGTAACGTCGCATAAAGCTATTTCCGTGGACGTCCGAGCGAGAACGCGCATAATTTCTAGCTGTTCGCGGATAAACGTTTGGCTAGCGGACGAAAAGACTATTTATCGTTTGTTTTTACAACTTGTTTTTTTTAACGGCACTCTGTGACAGGTATCATTCAGATTTATAAGTTATCAGGTACTTATGCTCTTTACTTCGAACGTTAGTATATATTATTTTATACAAATATTCGACATCTTTAAATCTTTCATATAAATTCTCAGAATATGTAATAATTTTCGACAAAACGTAATTCGGGACGATGTTGACTGCTTACTTCATTGAATGATCGAAAGAAATTGTATTAATATTCGATACTCCATGATATACAACGACGTTGAAATATTTCAGAAAAATAGGTAGATAGAAAGAGGTCGATAGAGAGAAAAGGTATAGATAGTTACGTTGCTTAAGTGATAAAGAGAAAGACGTTCTCGACTGATGTGAGTTTCTCCGTAGACTTCTTGTACTACGTCCCTGGAGAAGTCAAGGAGCGTCGACGCGTTAACGCGACGTACAAATAACAATGTGGAGGCCTTGAGAGAGCACCGCGATCGTGCAAGGCATCGAATGTAAAACGTTCACATAATGTTATAACCTTACATAATGATCGGTAGAGTAATAATGCTACTGCAATGTCGCCTTGTCCGTACGTGATCATCGAACATCTTTTGAAAGATTTGGATGATTAGGATGTAAAAAAGAGAAGATAAACAATGTGTAAACGAGCTATGATGCTGGGTTAGTCGGCAATAAGATGCGTTTCGCGATGATGATAGGCAGTCAAGGTGATTTTTAAAACATCAGTAGAACGTGTATAAAAACGTATGTATATAAATGTAAAAGTATTTTCGTAACTCGTCTCTTGATATATGTGATATGTGTTAGTTTTTTGTCAATATCGATTATCCGATAAATCATTTTTCGAATGAACAACAGTAAAAGATTGCGTTTAAATAAAATTCGAATGAGAGATGGTACTCCACGAGTTACCAAATTAAATTGTCGTTTGAATAAAGAAGAAACCATTGATTGTTTTGTATGTACCTATGATATTTACGTACATGCGTATGTGCGTAACTAGATAGATATATTCAGTAATATCAAACGATTGATATCGTAAAAATTCATCCGATGGAATGTTTCTCCACGTGCACGAAAAACCGAATGATATTTTGAGTTGACGAGCAAACACTAGTTTTATCTGTTCGTGATCGAGGTTTTCGATCGGGAGTACACGTGGATCGCGTCGTGGATTATCTGACGTACGATCGCCCTGGCGCCATTTAGAAGGTTTTTCTAGGAAAACAGAAATTAAAAGCCATAAAGACTGTCGTATCGAATTAAATGCTTAACCAATATAATCGATTAACCGACACTCGTTTTTTAATACGAGTCTTATTTTAATATTTTATTTTAATATTTTTCCAAAAGTCTTTTTCATCGAAAATACTGCTCTATTGAAAAATAAATCTTACGAAAATCTTCAAAGATCTTCTAAGGCCTTACTTATTCCAATATCATACGTTTTCGTGATAAAAATTATCAATTTTTATTAGATCCAACATATATTTTTATTACGAAACGAGTGAAACTAATTTGACCTACTTTCGGATAGTCGAATCTTACCCTAATAGATTTAACAAAAAACAAAACTCCACCGATCTAAGTCCTTCTTTGCTTTTTTTATTTCCTTTCCGATTAAATAAGAATCGTGTGCCTATTTCTCTCTATTTAGAATTAATTCCATTTATGGCTTACATCCTTTTAGTCATTTCTCTCTTCTTTCTCTCTCTCGTCTCTCTCTTCGCGTCTCTCTCTTCGCGTCTCTCATACCTCGAGAACGTCATCTATCAATGATAAATTACGTAAGCGAGCGTGTAAGTGCATTCGCGCTCACAAGATTATTCGTCAGAGATTTTCCTTGTAGTTTTCATTCTCGCATTTCCCACCGGCCATGTTGGCTCCCTATTGTCTCGTACCGAAAGACGTTCCATTTGCTACGAGCGCCACGTACAATCGCCTTCCTTTTTTCCTTCCCTCTTCCACGGCTCTGGTCCCTGCTACCACCATCGCAAGCACCAACACCAACACCAGCACCATTTCGAAGAGAAACGCACGTGCGCCTTTCATTCTTGGAAAGTCGAGGTCCCCGATTGTGTATTACATACTATATTTTATCTTTCAACGTTCTTTCTCTCTGTGTTAGAGTTAGGAAAAGAAAAAAAAAAGAATAGAAAAAAAATAATATACTACCTTATCACTTTCCATTAGAATTTTATAAATGCGTAGTTAAAAATAGATATCAGATATACCAAGGTTTCCAAAAACGCGTGTCAGAGTTGTACAATCTTTCTCGAGCAACCCAACGCTTTTCAGAATATGTCGCGTTTCTGGAGGAAGGATTTGAAATTAATGATTATATAATTCTGTGAAAGCGTGAGGCAAAAGAGAAAGAGAGAGAGAGAGAGAGAGAGAGAGAAAGAGAGATGAAGAGAAATAGCTAGCTCGACGCATATCTATGTGTTTATGTACGTACGGGTTCCTCGGTCGAAAGAATCTCTTGTTAAGATAAAACGAGTTACTCCGCAAATCCGATCATTTTATCTTTCAATTTTCGAGCTTCTACCAAGCTGAAAGCTACGTATTTTGATCATTTCTTGACCGAAAAAGAAAATCCAATGTAATGCATGCGTTTTATGATACAAGATTAACCCTTTCGCTACGGGACGGATCTCCGCCGAGGTACTCCCGCAGTACGGCGCGCTACACCGAAACAGTGCACGGTGCACGCAACGTTTGAGCCGGTGTCGTAAGACTTATGATCGAGGCATTTGGTTTATTATTGAAGCCCGTAAAAAACAAATGATGCAAAACGAAAGACTCATGCGGCATGTTTAGAGTGAGATACTCTGTGCATAGCAACTGCAGGCGCTTATCATATATACAATTACGCGACATCTTTAGCGGGAGCGACTATAGTCGCCCGTAGTACCTGAGCGGCATCACATGGAAAGCGACTATAGTCGCTCGTAGTAGCGAAAGGGTTAAGTATCAAACAATAATTTATGGTCGAAAGATAAATTTAACTCAATGTGTGTGTGTATCTACGTAAGTTTAAAAAAAAAATTAAATCACGAGTTATTAAAAAAAAATTGTTCGTTGCAAATTTGTATGTTCAAACTAATTCAATAAAATGAAGAGCAAAAAACTATAATTTAAAATAAAAAAGCATGGATATATATATTTTTAATGAACGCATGTACAATAAGATGTTTTAAATTAGAGAATAGGAGAAATACCATATTTAGTTTACCTGGTTTCTCTTTCTATAAGATTCTATTACGAATTCGCGATGTTTATATGAGGACATTATAACAGCCGAAGGAAAGACGATGGATGATGCATTTTGAAGATTCATCGTGCTCTCTCCGTATGTACGCGTTTGCTAGTATTATTTATTTTTACTATTGGTAAAGAATACTTTTATAAAGTTGAGAGATATTAATAAAGGGAAATTTCTACAATTGGAAGGAATATCTGTATTCTGCACTAACTATTGGTCCCCCTATCTCCTCATATATGTATGTACCTTTGCTCTTTCTGTATAAGTCCAATTAAAATATCACGAAGAGTTAATTGGTCATTCTTAGTTAACAAGTTTAATCGGATTCCTTAATGATCGGTCTTCTTAAGTTTGGGTCGAGGCGAACGATTGCAACGACATCGACGACGACAATGACGAGGATAATATGTTAATCGAGAGAGTTCTTTCATATATTTTTCTAGCAAATATAAAAACAAATAACTAATAAATATAAAAACGAACAATTTAATATTTGGTATCAAACAAATATATTAAACACATATTTATATTTGTAATTTATCGAATTAATCTATAGTTTGTTATAATAAAATAAAGGAAAAGAAAGAGAGAGAGAGAGAGGGAGAGAGAGAGAACGATTTTATATCTTTTACTTGAATTTTCTTTCTTTTTTCTTGAGTATCGGGCTCGTACGTTTCTTCGTGGCACATCGTACGTGCAAAGTAGAAGGTTACCGAATGACATCAGCCCGTGAGCTATTACTTCGTTCTCTTGCGCGATGATAGCTGCAATCGCATTTTCTTCCATTAACGAGAGTACGTTCGAACAGACTCCTACGATTCTCGGTAGAATCATTGATATAAACGTCGTACAGGATAATAACTAATAACGCTATCGTTTTAACGATTTTCTCAGCGATCTAAAGCGTTCGAAAATAATTTGTAACTTGTCGGGAGAAGAAAAAAAGGGGGGGGGAAAGGATTTATAAAATATATACGTACATATGTAGATAGAGATGGGGTATAGATGAATGTAGTAACACTTATGAGATCAATCGCAAAAATTGTTACTATTATTGTCTAGGAAACTTTCTTACGAAGAAGCTTTGCGTTGTTAGCCGAAGCTGAAGCAACCGAAGCTCATCTTTGCGAGCTCGTTAACGAGCCTGGCATGCTGACATTTTACTAGGAACGCAAATAAGTGCATAAATAGATGAGCCAATGCAAATAAGAGAAGGAAAGATTTTCGTTGTATTGCGTTGAGAAAGAATTCGTTCAGAAAAGTAGTAATACGTTTCTATCTCTGTTTCAAATCGATAATTAAATATTTCTTTTCTTTGTGTTTTAACGACAAATTGTGATTTACGAAACTTTAATATATGTATCTCATTATTTATCTTTACTGTTCACAAAACGCAAGTGTAAGAATATTATATGCATGACTATGTCAAATATATGTATTGTATTTGTATACGTTCATAACGTAACGGCTGGGAGTATTATAAATAATGGTAATATTAATCGGTTAATTCATAAGATAAATACTTATTTCCTTTATACAGGATGGCTCTGTTTTCTTTCCCTCTTTCTCTTTCTCTTATTATGTTATCGAACGAATGGATAATTAAAAGTAACTTACACGTACTACGCGTAGCATTCGCAATGCATTAATAAGCGCTATTATAAACGCAAAGAAGTCTCAGTCGTCACATGGGAAGACAAAAGCAGTGTAATTACGTAAAAACCGATTGGTAAAAGGAAACGTCATGTCTCGAAACGATAGTTCTCTCACAGAGGTTATTATTTTTCTCCGCGTTCTCTTGCAGAACGCAAACGAGTAAGCGCAATTTCTTACGTTAGATCGACAAAATGGAAGGAGGATGAAATGTGAAATAATACTCTAGACGTTGAACGAATAAAAAGACCATGACTAGAAAGAACGCTAATTGCGTTGAACTAGAGGATGGAAGTAGAAGCTTGCAACCTTGAAAGTGGCCACCACCTTCCAACGTTGTAACTTTCGTTAAAAAGTTTCAACAGCCAAGGCAATTTCTATCCTCGGAAGTAGTAACAGCTAATGCAATTGCAACTGCCTCGGCAAAAAGGAGCAACGGCAATGGCAACGGCAATGGCAACGAGCCCATCGAGAGAAAGGAAAAGAGGGAACAAGTATTTGTTGTTGGCGAAACGACGGAAGAAAGATTCCTCCTCCTCCTCCTCCTCCTCCACCTTCCACGACTTCCCGTCTCTATGTCTGTCTCTTTTTCTCCGTTTAACCAATCCCACATTAACAACTCTCACTCGCACTCTTAGCCCTTTCTTTCAATACGTCTTTCCTTCCCTCTTCCCTTTTTATCTCTTTCTTTCTTTCTTTCTTTCCCTCTCCCTCACATCCCTTCCCACTCCCTTTTCCCTCTCCGTCACCGTATCCGTCTTCCCTTCTTTCTTTCTTTCTGCTCGTTTCTCTCGTTATACACCAGCTCTTTCTCCACTCTCGTCACAGGGAGCAAACCGGATTCGCAATAAAACGAACCACCTCGAAATATACGCGAAGAGTCCGAGGATCTAACCTATACGGTCAAACTGGATCTCGGTGTCTTTCTCTCTCTCTCTTTCTCTCTATCTCTCTTTCTCTCTCTCTTTCTTTCTCTCTCCTTATCTCTCTTGCTTCGTTCTCCTGCCCTCCAAGAAATTCGAGTGAAAGGGATTCTCGGTGGAAGGAAGAGATAGCTAGGCTACTCGCGTTGCCTTGTGAGAAAGGTGCAAGTACGATCATCGACGAACGCTTCTTTTTCTTTTCTTCTCTCTTTCTCTCTTACGCTCTTTCTCTCTTTCTCTCTCTCCCTCATTCACTCTCACGTTCTCGTGGGACGACGATGACGACGACAACGACGAGAGCTACGACGAAGACAACGACGCTAAGAGACATTGAACATTTGCTGGAGAAAGAATAGAAGGGAAAGGGAGAAGAGAAGAGAGAAAGGGAGAAGAAAAGAGGGAAAGGTGGAGAAAAAAAATGCAAAGGTGGTTCCATGATTCCGGAGAACAACAAAATCCCCTTTCTTTCTCTTGTTCCTTTTTTTTCTTTTTTTTTCTTTTTCTTTCTATTTTCGAACTCAACGCATGTAAGTATAAGATAAGGTAAAAATTTTCAATGAGTAAATAAATTATATTATACGAGTAATGGGTAAAAATATTATATATAAAGTATTTAATATACTACAATTTACAAATACAGTCAACCCTCCTATAACGCGGTGAGTGCGTACCGCGTTATATGGAAACCGTTCTATAAGAAACTCGGATTTAACCGTACAAACCAGGCTAATTCGTAGCGCGTTCTATGGAAACCGTCTACCGCGTTGTATGGAAACCGCGCTATAAGAAACGCAGAATTAGTACAAATCACATCATTCGTACCGCGTTATATGGAGACCAATAAGGACAAGATAAATTATAAATTATTTTTATTGAATTGAAGAGTTTATATAAAGAAATGATACCAAAACTA